TATATATATATATATATATATATATATATATATATATATATATATATGGTTTACAGATAGATGTTTATTTCTCTTATCAGAAATTTCCCCAGGCTTGTAAATATATGTTTTATTTTCCATTCAGCAGTAGGTGGCACCCTCAGCTTAGGTTTCAACGTTGTCTCAATTCTAACTGGTATTTTATCCAATTTTAATTCAATTTATAGAAACAGTTATTTAAGTAAAAAGTTCTAGCATTTTAAAATGCCTTTCCAAAACAGCACCTGTCCAGCTTAGAGCTCCAATTTTCTATATTTTATTTTATTTTTAAAAAAATTGCTTTTCTACTCTTGGTTCCTTTCTTTTGGATCTAAAATTTTTCTCTGAACAATTGTTCGCTGCTTTAATAAATAGTTCTAGGAGTCTCTTTCTTGGATATTTTTTCCTTTTAGGGTTAAATTTTACATAGCAAAAGAATAATTTCACCCAGTTTCAGTTTCTGTTCATTTATACCACTCCAATACTTTCTTTGTTGCCTTGGCTATCCCAACTTCATGGCAGCCATGATGGCTGCCTGTCCTCATTGAGAGTGAGAGCAAAGAGTCCTGGATCAGGCAGGAGAGTTGCGACTCCACCGTGACCTGCATGGCACCTCTTTTTTCTTCACCATCCCTACAGAGTGGCTTTAGCTCCTTTTGGAGCCCTCCAAGGGTGAAAACTTGTTGCGGGAGCTCAGAGATCCGCACCTTGTGTCTGATCTTACTGCGTGTCAGCCAAATGTCCATTACTGGGAAGATTGGCAAATGTCTCGAATGTTTCCTACTTGTGAATAATCTTCTTCTTTGTAGAATGATTTTAAATTGTTTGGAAATGGCCTTTTAAATCTTCTGAAATTGATGGGCAGGAACAATTGCTTCTCTAAGATAATTGCTGATACCTTTACATTTGGCATTGTGTTAACACACATCACAATGCCAGAGACCAGGAAACTCCTACAACTTTGATTTTTATAGATGTAGTCATACTTCCTGATGATCAATTGATCAAGGGCACTTTATTACAAGTATCTGGCTGCTACTTCACCTCTTTATACTATGTAAGCAGTGAGAAATTTGCTAATGGTAAGAACAAATAACCAGCAAAACAGCTTGCCTTCACAAGTTGTGGTGCTCCATCTCTGGAGGCTTTTCAGAAGAGACAAGACAGCCACTTCTCTGAAATGATGTAGGGTGTCCTGTTTGATCAGAGGCTGGATTAGAAGATCTGCAAGGTCCCTTCCAATTCTGTTATTCTCCTCTATTCTGTTGTGGTGATATTTATGATACCCGGATAAGTAAAACCATAGAAATCAAAGAGGATGTACTTTCTATTTCATTTGACTGTATTTGAAAACAATCATTTGCACTGCTAAGAATTTGTGATTGACCCAGTCAACAAGTGATTTCATCATTCTTCATTGTAATGTAAATGTTTTTCTTTTTTTCTCCTCTTCTGCAACCATTAAAGATACCCTTTTATTTGAATCTTATAGACAAAGAGGATGGCAATAAGAACACTCTGCACAACTGAGGATAACAAGCAACATTGAATAGCAAAGCAAGTCAGTCCAGGAAACAAAATATCTTCCGTTTTCTTCAAAGAGCCACACAATTCTTCACCTTCTTCAGCAAGTAAAATCAAGAAGAAATTTCTAACACGGAAAAGTAGAGAGTGAAATTAAAGCATATGTTACATGAAAAGTCAAGGGAAATTATTTTTCCATTCAGCAAAAGAGGGAAATGAAAAAATCAATGGGGAGAAAAAGGTCAACTGGAAAGGCACGTAGAGCAGACAGTGTTGTAGCTTCATTCTGGAAGGAAGAAAATCACCAGTAAATTAAAGCATCACTAAAGGGATCATCCATATTTTTGACCCCAAGAGTCTGAGTAGTGGAAGAGATCCATTGATATGCCAGTTGTGGGAAAGATACAACTTGCAAATCACAGCTGATTATGCCTGAGAGGATCTCAACTGGAGAAAAGTCATACAAATACTCTGAATGTGGCAAAACCTTTGATTAGAACAACTTAGTTGTAGTTCTTGGAAGAATCCATGCAGAAGAGAAGCCCTACAAGTGCTCCCAATGCAGTAAATGCTTTAGTGAGCATGGCAACGTGGACTCCCACCAAGGAGAAACCTTTTGAATGTCCTGATTGTGGAAAATGTTTCTGTGATAATTCCAGCCTGGTGATACACCAGAGGACACACACAGGAGAGAAACCCTTTGAATGTCCTGACTGTGGAAAAAATTTCAGTCAGAATTCCAGCCTGGTTCAACACCAGAGGATTCACACAGGGGAGAAACCATTTGAATGTCCTGTTTGTGGGAAAAGTTTCAGCCAGAATGCTCACCTTGTGAGACACCAGAGGACTCACACAGGAGAAAAACCCTTTAAATGTCCTGACTGTGGCAAAAGTTTCAGTCAGAATTCCACCCTTGTTCAACACCAGAGGATTCACACAGGAGATAAACCCTTTAAATGTCCTGACTGTGAGAGAAGTTTCAGTCAGAATTCCACCCTTGTTCAACACCAGAGGACTCACACTAAGCAGAAAGTCTTTGAATGTCCAGTCCGTGGAAGAGATTCTCTCAGTGATTATAGCTCGTGGTGCACCAGAGGACTCACACAGGAAAAAAGCCCTGCAAGTGCTCCCAATGTGGTAAATACTTTAGCGAATATGGCAATGTGGACTGACACCAAGGAGAAACTGTTTCAATGTGCTGATTGTGGAAAAAGTTTCAGTCACAATTCCATCCTGGTAAACCACCAGAGGACTCACACAGGTGAGAAACCCTTTGAATGTCCTGATTGTGGTAAAAGTTTCAGTCAGAATTCCACTCTGGTTCAACACCAGAGGATTCACACAGGAGA